GCGGTTCCCGTCCCGCAGGGCCCCCGGCGGAGCCGGGCACACACGAACGCTACCGGGCCCCCTCAGGCGGCATCGCTGCACGGCCCAGCCCGCGTGGATCCCGGGAATTCACACCCAGACCCTCAGCACGGCCAGCAAACCCAGCCGCGGCTGGGAAAAGGAATTTCACCTCCCCATGGATCTGCACCACCCCGTGCTCTGCACACAGACATCTCCATTCGCTGCAGGCAGCCCGGGGCTGAGCCCAAGGAGTCCATGGGCTAACTGCGTTTCTACATGAATTCTGCATTAAAAAGGGAACATTTTGTTGGCTTGAGGTCTGGTTATTCGTTGCCCACAGTTATTTAACCAGGAAAGATGCTGTGCTGAGCCCCACGAGGTGGCAGCAGCTCCCAGGACCAGGGCACAGCCCCTCCTGGGTGTCCCTGCCATGCCTGCACCAGGAGCTCAAGGACAGCCGGCTTGGGCCACAGTGACCACGGCCTTCCCTGCCTGTCCAACCCCAGGGATGGCTTCCAGTGACTGTGCTCCTGCTCTTTGGTGGTTTGTGCCTGGTTTTGGGAAAGATGGGAGGCTGTTCTGGCCCCAGTGCCACCAACCCCTTTTCCAGTGCCAGGGGAAACTGGAATCAATTTGGATCAGAGGCTTTTTCTGCAACCACAGAATCACAGAGTATCCTGAGTTGAAAGTTGATACTCTTGACCCACAAAAATCATTGAATACAACTCCTGACCCTGCCCACAACAACCCCAAAATTCACATCACGTGCCTGAGAACACTGTCCAAAGGTTTGTGAACTCTGACAGGCTTGGGGCCGTGACCACTTGCCTGGGGAGCCTTTTCCTGTGCTCATCCACTCTCTGTATGAAAAAACTTTTCCTAATAACCAACCTTGACCTCTCTGAGCTGGATTTAGCTCACATTCCTCTCCATCTTCCTGACAGGTCAGGGACACAACCTCTGCACTCTCACCTGGTAGAAAAACACAAGTGCCCTTTCTCTGCAGGCTGGTTTTCCAGCCAGTGTGAAAAACAAGGTTAAATACTTTGTGTGTAATTTTAAATATAGAGTCTCAGCTGTCACTGTTTGCAGGGGCAATTTTCTGGTAGAGAGAAGACAGATTTATAAGAATTAATTTCCATATTGGCAAAGTAACAAAAAACCTTCCCTGAAAAGCTCTGCAAATGCTGGCATTGAGATATGAAGGCTTTCTGTGCCTCTCTGTTGGAAGGAGAACCTGACCCCAGCCATTCTTGGGGAAGCCAGATGCAAAATCCCACCCCCCAAACAAAACACCCGAGCTGGACATCACTGTCAGAAGGAAATATCCACCCTGGCAAGGCAAGGCCAGCTCCTCCATGGGGCCCAAAGGACCCAGCCTTCCAGCTCAGCAGGGATGTAAATATTTGCAGTACCAAGGCCTTGCAGAAAGGGAGCTCAGCACAGGAAAGAGCTGTCAAACATACCTCTAGGTCCTGCTAGATCATATTTTCCTATTAGTTTTTTTTTAAAATCATATATACTAGCCTTTCATTCATGTCATTTAAAAAATGTGCTTTAAATCTCAGTCAAATTAACAGTGACAGGAGCTATAAATCCAACCTGATTTAGTGACAATATTTCTTCTAAGCTTGCAATATAAATTCACAACTATGAAAATTAACTCCGAAAGTCTGAGAAACTCTGAAAAGCCATTTAAAAGCCTTTTCTCAGGAGGCCCTGGGGAAACAGCCCCACACAAGAGGGGGGCCTGGCAGCAGGGCTGTTTTGATAACCTTCAGTGAAAGGGACCTGAGAATATTAACCATTACTGAAGGCTGTGGAGGAAAAAAATGCTGCAGCTCTCTCTGCTGCTTTTCCAGCTCGGATGGAGCTGTGAAGAGATGGCACCTGGGATGGGAATATCTCTGTTACTGCAACACAAGCAAAAATTACTTTTAAAACAAACATTTGTTTAGAGGAGTTTGATGCTGAAATGTTCAGGTACCCAGTGGGTTTGTTCCCAGCAAGGCTGGGTGCTCCAGTGCATGTTCTACTGTCAGCAGCAAAATTCCAAATACTCCCCTTCTGCTGCTCTGGATGTGGACAGGAGATGCAATAAATAAGGAAAAAAGGTATGAAAAAGAAGCTGGCACAAAGCACAGATGAACACCTGGGGATGCTGCCAGCAGCTTTGCAAGGCCCCATTCCTTGTGTGCCAGGGCTGTCCCTGACCTGGCAGAGGACTGTGGGGCAAACAGTTTCATTTGGCTCATGGGACAGCATGGCACAGTCAGCTGTCATAATAACAAATGGTTTGGAAAGTCTTTGCTCAAACAAATAAAAAACACTGTGTAAAAAGCATTGTGCCATTCCCTGAATTAAGTTTCATGCAACTCCTTCCCAGATTCTGTCAAGCAATGTCTGTAACCACTTTGGATAGGCTTTTCCATGTGATTTATACTTAGTTTGTTCCCTTCTTTTTCAGGTGAAAAAAAGTGCATTGTCTGCACTGCAAGTACATTTCAATGTGGAGTAAAAAATTAGTTTAAAAAAATCAAATAAATTTAAAACAAATAAATGCAGAAGCTGTGAGTAGAGGAAAAAAAAAAGTTTCTGGATGAGAAATGTCACATTCTCACTTTCAACAGACAATTAGAAGGAAAAGTAATTAAAAGGTTTGCATAATCTTACCAAACCCAGAGCCCTGCTAAGCAACAGCCCTAGCACTCACATTGTGCATGCACCCAGCTGGTATCAGAGCAGGTCAGGGCTTTTTGGGGGTGAAGGGAGATCCAGCTTGGACACACAAAGTGCCTGTACAGGCTCAGGCCTGGAGACTGACCACTGCAGCAACATGGACAAAAAAAATTAAGTATACTGGAACACCTTTACACATGTGTATATATATATATACACACATATATATAATGATTCAAGAAATAATTATATAAAGATTAAAAGATTAATTATGTAAAGATTAAATAATCTGAATTATTAAATAAATAGAACTATTAAATAATTTAACATTAAATATTTAAAGGTTAAAGTTATTAAAATAATTTAAATGCATATATTTAATTTATTAGAGATACTCACAGCTGCACAAGGCAAAATGCAATTGTCAGTTTTGCATACAACACCCCAGTACATGAGGTACGGCCACGCTGGCTGCAGAGATGGCCATCAGAAACAGAGTCAAGGCCATGGACAGCCAGAGGGGTCTAAAGAGGGAACTCCAACAGCTCCCCAAAGCAAAGGAAGGGCCAGTAGAGGCAACCATGAGATGCCAGGGTATGGCAGGAACAAGCACAGCCTGGGTCAGGGATGGCTGCAGAGCAGACTTGAGCTGCAGGATGAGAAGGACAGGCTGAGTGTAGGGGTTATGAGGAGCTCCAGGCCATCACCTCCAAAGCCCTTTCTATTGGTCATTGAGATGTACAAACACATCCCACCAGCAGCAGGCAGGGGCTGGAATGCTCTGGAGTCACCATCCCATGGCAGCTGCTGTGCTGCAGGGACCTACCTTCCACCAAAACAGCCACTGAGCCTCCCAGATGTGCCACGGGTGCCACATGGGTGCCATGTAGCAGTGCCCTGCCCTGGGTCACTGCAGCAGCAGGCAGGGCTCCAGCTAGCCACCAGGGCACTGCCACATCTAGTGCAGTGCCCACAGGACAGCTCAGGTCAATTAAGGAAGGATCAAGTTCCAAGTGAGACTCACAGGTACCAAGTGGCCAAATGCTACTGCAAACCACCAAGGAGAGAGACTAAAAACAAAGGAGGAAATATTAACAATGAAGAAAAAAGAAGAAAAAGAATTTCAGGTCAACCAAATTGATAGAAAAGCACTTCCACACCTAAAGGTAAAAACCTCTATAGTGAAGGAAGTGCATCTTGTACCATTGCAAGTGTGCCCAGCAGGAGGCACTGGGACACCAGTAACACGTACACAACACCCCGGACTGCCTGGGTAGCCACTGCACTTAAAAACCTTTGTCAAGGTCCCAAAGGCAGAGCAGAACGGCCCCCAAAGCACGGATCTGTGCCCAACACAGCCACTCCTCAGCTGGCAGAGCTGCTGGAGGTAGCTGAATGTTGCTGTCCAAAATCAACCCTGCCAAGAAGCTCCTCTCATCACCACCACTGGGTGCTTGCTGTCCTTAGCAAGGTCATTTTTGTGGCCACTCCAAAGCTGTCAGTGCCCAGGCCAGGCAGAGTTGGTCACTTGAAGCAGAGCTCAGCTTACACTGGAGGTAACCCCAGCCACAGCAGCAAGCAGGGTCCATCAGCTTCACACACAACTCCTGCTAATTTCAGCCAGTGTCATCAAACCAAGACAGTCAAGAGAAGGACAGACAAGCACAGGGTGGACTGGGACACAGGAGTTATGCAGGTGAGATACTCTCAAGGTTTACCCCCACCAACAGCTGTATCCAGGCTTGTTTTGTTTAAAACATTGAATAGGAGGCCCACGCTGAGATACCTACCACAAGGCTAATGAGTTAACTATAAAAAGGAAATAATCTGATAAGCCTGGGGCAGGAAAGTCCTTGGCAGCCACTGCATCTCAGGTTTCACAGGGGCTTTCAGCAGGAGAGTGTTTGGGAAAACATCTGCTGGTTTCCATGGCTGTGCCTGGAGGTGCTGGCCCCAGGTGCAGGGAGACACCTTCTGCAAACAAGCTCAGGGATCCCAAGGAATTACAGCCCAGACAGCAGCTCCAGGGACACAGCACTGCCCCGTGCCTGGGTCTGCACAGGGCAAACCAGCACAGCTGTGTAATGCTCCAGCCACACTGTGCCCACTGCACCCTGCACGTTTGCATATGGCTTAAACTTCTGCCAATTTGTTTTCAGGAAAAAGAAAGGTTTCAGGGGAAAAAAGTTAATGCTGTTGAGGTTCTGCCCAAGTTTTCATGGCTACCTGCACAGCCCATAGGCTATTTGGTCTGCCTGAAGCTGCTGTGTGGTGTACTTTCAGTCGGAACTTTACTGACTACATATGAAAAGAATCAGATGTTGTTTTTAACATGCACATTTTAATGAAGCAAACATTTCTATTTAATAAGTTATAAGATACAATTTTACAAATCCTGCATTTTATTCCAGTTTATTTTGTTTTTACTTTCTAGTTTACAATGTAGTGAGCATTTCACATTAAGGCACTAAAAAAGCACAGTAAAAAAACCCCAACCTTCCTTTTTTTTGCCAATAACTGTGCTGGAGAGCAGTACATCCACATGTAATTACAGAACCGTAAGCATGAACTTCTCCCGAGGGACAGTGACATATCAACAGGTTTTCAACAAATCCTACCTTCTCCAAACTGCAGAGTCTGAGCTCATCAGGAGAGTTTACTAAAGCCCCAGCAGCTGGCAGCAATTCAGATATGCACCTGGGAAGTAGTATGGAGTAATCCGGGACAAACAGACAAGTTACAAGGAAGTTTCCACTCCCTAACCCTCAGCAGCAACGCCTGTTGCAGCACAAAGGGGGTTTCAGGAGAGGTGAGTTTGCTTCGGGCATATCCTTGGACTGAGATACAATAAAACACCTTGCACCAAAGAGGGGTTTGTTCATTGATATTGCTAATATTGGTATTGCTATTACTGGTAACCTCACAGACCCACCCTGTGTCCCACTGCAGATGTGGGTCCCATTCCCAGGATGGCTCCTTTGCCCCATCTCAGACACTGGCCTGGCCTGCAGCCTCCAGAGAAACCAGTGGTCATCTTCTCAACACACCTTGGTGCTCTGGACTGCAGTGACTCTGGGCCACACAGGTGACAGCCATGCCTGGCTAGGCAAGTTCAGGGGCTTTAGTTAACCCAGCCAACCCAGGGTTTGTTCTTAAATCAAAAAGAGTGTGTGGGGGGGGGTTACCTGTAAAGTTGAAGAAACATCACCAGCATCCCAAGCTCATTAAAAACCGCATTACTAGCATTATGGCCAAAAAGCTATCTGTCTCTAGAGTTACAAAGCGTTAACATAGAGAGAAAGCTTACAGGAAATAATTTTCAATCTGCTTTTGGTTTGCTATAAAAGATGAACTTTTTCTAAATGTAAACCATTGGCAAAGCATTTTCAGAAACATTTTAAATTTGAGTGGTAAAGGTACTTATAATAGCTTTTTATAATGTTAAGCATTAAAATTGATCAAGTATACAAAGGCACCTACTATAGTACCAGTTTTACCTCATTTCTTTACAGAAAAGAATTTGAACTGGGGACAGCCCAAGTCATATTCCATAACTAAAATGCAAAGTCTCCAGTCAAATAAAATCAGTAGTTAAGATACCCAATTACAAAGACAAATTCCAGTTTTCAATTAACATCTAAAGTCTTTAACATCCGCAAGGGAAATTAGTGTCTAGTCATCCACATGATTCTCCAAACATTAACAGTGACCAGGACAGAACTACAAAGGTACAATTTGAGGAGATATTAAATAAATTGACATTAGGTTGGTAAGTAGGATAGAAGTGAAATGCTTGTAAAAAACAGTTAGAATTTATGTCTGACTATTGAAATGTGAGCCGTGTGTATCTAGAGGCTGCATTTTGCAACACGGCCGCACCCCGGACAGCTCTGCATGTGAGCTGCCAACGCAGAGAGCGCCCGGCAGCGCCGTGCCTACGGAACTGTGACATGGAAGGGACTCCCAGGAATGTGCTCGTCACCCCACTTCACTGCCAGGACATAGTCCCCCCTTTCCTTGACAACGTAAGTGACATTGTACTGATGGCTGCCCAAATGCTTGATGGACACCTCTTCACATGGTATTGTAGGTCCGTGGACGCCAACTAAGAGCATGTTGGAACCTGTAGCAAAACACACAACTGTTAGGGTCCCTGAGCTGAAACAAGGCAGCGTGGTTCTATCATAATATATCAGCTCTGGAACACATGGATTTTATTATTTTAATTTACAGAGTGGTAGCTGAGCCATACCTCAGATTAATTTGGTATAAGAAGGAATTTTATATTAAAAAACTTTCAACCTCATAGAGGTGAGGGTTTATCTGTGCTATTTGCCAGACCCGACAGGTTACCTACCACCAAGTAGAGCACAGGAGCCATCAATGCTGCCTGTGAAAACAAGCTGGTATTGCTTTACAAGTACTTCATTAGAAGTTAATAGCAGGGGCCAGTGGACACAGCTGGCCTGTAATCCACCCACCACAGAGCTCCCAGACAGTGATGATGAGCATCAAAAGGTAACAGGAACACCGTGCATTACATGCTACAATGCACCACAGGGGTTGCTTAAGTTCAGCAACCTGTTTGTTCTCATGCCATAATCCTGTGGTTCTTTCAGGTGCACCTGGCTCAAACTAAGCCATTGGAGAGGAACTTTATGGACTCTGTATTAGGACTGACAGGGTGAGCACAGTGCAGTATTTAGCATTTTTCTTTAGTACCAGATCATTACCTCAAGTTCTGAATTTTAACTTTGCAAGTTGGTTTAGAGAAAAAACCGCTCAGCTAAACCACCGATCCTGAACACCCATCTGGTTCCTGTATCCATACCTGCTTTGCTGCAGTCCACAGAGAAGGAGCTTTTCTGACCCACAAAAGCCTTTGAGAGTCCTGCTCCCCGGGAAACCACTTTGCTGGCATCCGAGGTGGATTTGGGAATGGCACTGTAGCAAGTTTCAGTCGATGACCTTGTCACTGACTCTACCAGGATGGAAGAGGTTTCGTTGGCACTGCCTGGACTAACCAGTCGCTGCCCTGGAAACAGAAAAGGTTTCTAACATTCAGATTTGCCCCATCTGAAAGGCATTCAGAAGGAGGTTTCAAAACCCTCCTAATGACTAGCATGCATTCTGCATCCAAAATGCATTTTTGGAGAGGAGCAATTTCCTACTTGGGTTTTTAAGCTGACATCTTCCAGCACTGCTGGCAACAATCCCATCCCAGAGCCCTCAAGTGGCTAAAGGACCACAGGAACTTCAGGATTCATTAAGCAAAGCAGGTTGCTTAAGAAGAGTTAATTGTGCTCCAATCACCAAATGCCAAAAATGGCTTGAGTTGGCAGAAAAGCAGGTGCAATTTTGCAATAACCCATTTTGAAAGCAGAGCGTGTCCCAGCCTGGGGGAGCGCAGTCCTTGCCACCCTCTCCCGAGAACATCACCACGCTATGGGCACCACAAGAGGGTTTCACAAGCTCAGGGGGAGGAGTAGAGATGAGCTTCAGCCTGTGCTTAAACACAGTGCTGGAGAGAGAACAAGCTTCCTGAACTAGCCTTCCTGACTTCACCTAGGAGCCTCCCAGGCATTACTGACTTCTGGCTAGGTGATACCTGCACCAAAATGAGACCAAGAGAGGCAACACATGCTACAGGTGAGCAGGTTTCAGGATTGAGGGTGGGGGGAAATGGGTAAATAAGTCACACTTCCCGGAGACCCATGCAAGACCCTAGCACTAGATCAGGACTTAATATTACCCCATAAAGCTGTTTTATGGCCCATCACTGAGTCAAGCTGCCAAGCTCTGTGACTACTGCTTTTGTAGCTGCTCCTGAGACCCCACATCTAGGCTTTGGAGGTGATGGGGAGAAATGCTTTGCTTCTCATGGTTTTGGGCATCTAGACTACAACACCACATTGTCTTGGGAGGATTTTTTGCTGAATGACATGACCTACTTCAGGCACAGAGTAAATACTAGTTAGCTTTTTACCTGTAACCTTTGCCTTGAAAGGGCTGCCCACTATGTGGTTAGGTCCACCATATTTAACTCCAATTAAATAGTTTCCTGGAGCCATGGGTGTGTACATGACTTTGTAACCTTCTGGAGTTTCCTGGCAGTCCATTTTCACCTTTGATGGCCCTTCAATTGTAACAGAGAGGGTACCTGGACCAGCCTTGGTCGTGTTAATGAAAAACTCCGACTGCAGTCCTAGAAAGACGTAGCACAGTGAGACACACTCTTCCTCACACCCGATGTTACACACGCAGCCTCAGGCATTAAACACGGGGTAATTCGGCACAAGATCAGTCTCCCAGGGCATCAGGCAGGGAGGGACACCACATCCACCCCAGCAGCCTTGCTCAGGCCAGCCTCAAATGGAGCTCTGCACCCCTGGCAGCCTCCCCAGCTTCATCCTGGCTCCCTCCTCCAGTTAGGTTATGTGACTGTGTGGGAGAAGGGGTCATGACAGCCCTTCAGGACTCAAATGGAAGTAATTTGGTATCAAAAAACTGGCTTAGAGAGAAAACAAGAGCTTTTCTGCTGGGCATCAGAGTCCACACCCACACAGCTCCAGCATGGCTAAGTTTGAGAGCTCAGAGCTGTCTCGCTGCCTGGACTGCAAATCAGCAGTGAAGAGCCCACAAGAAAGCAGGAAGGACAAGGGGCAGGAGATGGCCTGGAGGAGATGTGTGTTTGAACTGCTCGGCAACAGCACTCCAAGCAGTTTGTGGAAACAAAAGCTTGTTTAATTACAGCATCTGGTTAACACAGCTGAATTATTGCTGCTAATACTAAGCCAATGACACAATGCCAGCAACACAAGAAAAAATTAAGTAAGGCTTTCAGCCCCCAAATAATTTACTGTCAAACTCTGGCCTCAAATATTTATGATCTTGGGGCTGTTGCATGAGACACTGTTGAGGAGGAATAAAGTGCTCAGGCACACTCAAAACCAGGATGGCCATGGGAAAGTTTACTGCTGCTGCGATGGAAGCACGAAGACGTGGGAATAAACTCAGGAGAAGTTTCTAGCCTCCCCACAAAAGAGGCTGCTGTGTCGCAATGCTGGAAGAGCCCAGCTCCCACAGAGGATTATGCCATTTTCCAGAGCTCCAGCAGCCCATCCCCCTGGCACCACCAGCCTGGGAGGCCAGGCATCAGCCTGCAATGCCCTGCTCAGCTGGAGAGAAGTTAATTCTCAAAGCCAGCAAGCTTCCCAGCTTCTCACTAAGAGTTCTTGCTCGGAGGCACTGCTCTGAGCTGTGCCCCAGATGAAGGCTTGCATTGTTGGAGGCTGCAGACGCTCAGCCCTCCCAGGGGGATGGTTCAGGTGCTCAGCCACTGAAGCCCCTACACTGGGTCATTGTTCTGAAATGCTGCTCAGCAGCTCCCAGGGCACTGCGCTTTTGGCAGTGGCCAGGATTCAACAACGGGGCACAGAGCAGCTTTGCTGAAATTAAACAGTCTATTTAGATTAAAAACAGCCCCAAGCACCTTTATAGATGAAGAAATATTCCCCTGTCCCTGATGCATCACTGGCTGGTATTAATGAGTGCTTTTGTTTCCACCTATTAAAGGAGCTCAGGCTACATCTTTATTTTATAGAGTGTATCTACATGTTTCCAAAACCAACTGCTTGGCTCCTCCAGAACAGCAGAAGCTATGACTGAATAACTGCAGTATTTTTTTTTTCGCAGGGAGAAAAAAGATATGAGATGGAATCCACAGAAGACAGCAGTGGATAGAACAAAATGAACCAGCTATTCCCTTACACTACAAAAGGAGAAAAAATAATCATTTTACTCTGCTAGTTACCTGTGTGTGTGGCCTGAGTAAGAACACAAATAAATCAAAGTGCATATCCTGGAATGTTTTCGTACTTACTAAGGCCACAAATCATAAAAAAGAAAAAACAAACCCTAAACCCTACATTCTTGAGTTGAGAACTATCAGATGAGGCAGCCACAGCAGACAACAAGGTGCCAGATTTCCAAGAAGAGACCGTTCATGCTGCATCTGGAGCATGAACAGCACACTACCAACAGAACAACCCACCTTCTCCCTAGGGTTTACATATCCTACTGCATTTCACTTGAGATTTCTCAGAGGTGCAAGCACCAAAGGGAACCTAACAGGGACGGTAACACCCTCATACCCAATTAACACTAGTTAAACAAGATTCCTTCATCTCTAGACAGCCATCTCAGGCATCATGTTCATGTGTGGAAGGGAGCCAGAGCATCTCTGGAGCTCGAGGGACCACCGACGTGGAGCTAAGCTAACCAGCAGAGCTGTAGCCCAGCTGCTAACCAGCAGTTCAGTGAATGCGTGTTGCAGTTGCCGATTTACAAAAGTTTTAAGTTTGTTAAGGCTCAGTATAGGCTGCAGACTTGTGAGTGATGGTTATAAGACATGAGGAGCATGCTAGAAAGCAACATTAGCCTGCACTCAGGTCAGCAGAGAATGTGGGTTAGTTCAGCTGCCGTAGCAGGTGAAGTCATGTAAAAGTACACCTAGAAATGGGTTCTGTCCACCCCCAAGGCCAGGGCAAGCAGTGTGCAGGAGAAGGGTTACCCGTGGTGCCGCTCTCCAGGCCGGATCCGTAGGCCGTGAC